GGTGTGGGTGTGGGTGTGGGTGTGGGTGTGGGTGTGGGTGTGGGTGTAAGTGAAGAGAAGATAAACACCTACACCCACACCCACCCACACCCACACCCTCGATTATCATTTTTTCTTATTCATATATGAGAATTAATACGAATTGAAAATTCTCATTTAAATAAAAATCACTTACAGAAGGAACGCCGTATAAATAGCACATTGTAGCCGACTTAACACGATAGAAAAATAAAAATGAACAGTAACGTATATGTTCAATATTTTTTTTTCTCTTTCTTATTCTCTCTCTCTCTCTCGCTGAATTGTTTTTTTGTTTCTTTATAGACACGCCCAAAGAGATTGCTGCATAAAACATTCTCGTTGTTCTATTTGTTCAACGCATCTTATTGCAAAGTTCATCAGGGTCACTCTTTTTTCTCTATTTTTTTCCTACATTGACGATTAAACTCTCATCCATAAAACAATGAGAAATAGTATTTTCTCATTCTAATTTTCTTTATTCATTTACTTAATATGAATAACTAAAAAAAATAATGTATACATTTATTATAAAATAATAGACCGATGATATTAATCCTTTCTATTGCATGAAGAACGACATCTTTATTAGAGAAGTAATCGTTAACATTTATAAAAATTTTATTAAATTAAACAAAAACTTTAAAAGAATAAAAGCTTTTAATCTAATAAAAATTATAATTGATTGTAAATATTAATTCTCATTCTTTATATTTATTTTAAATTTAAAATAAATTAAGAGGAACATGTCATTTCTACTTATTTTATGATTAATATATCCAACTTTAAAAATAAGAAAGATCTCTAATTCATTGTTATATTACTTTATAAATTTATAATATCGTGCTGAAAAGACATTGACAAAAAAAAATTTACTTCAAAATGAATTTTATCGTTATAGATATTAATGAACAAAAAAAGAAAATAAATTAGAATTTCACTTGGCCTAGCGACCGTCTAGAACAGTCAGTTGACTGAAGAACCTGAAAAATATCTGAATATGCTTCTATACAACATCTACTTATATGAATCTTAGATTCACATAGAGAGAAGTTCATAATTAATTTCTTTAATTACTTACAGCATCATGTTCTGTATAAGTGGAAGATTCCATTATATGAACAGTATCAATATTTGGTACTGGTTTATGTTCACTTGCAGATGATGATGATGTTGTATTATCAATATATGTTGATATTTGACGATTAAAATTTCCTTTTGTTTTAGCTTTACGCTAAACAAACAATATAGATAAAACAAAGAAAAATAAAAGAAAAAAAATCAGATTACTACTGGTGGCCGATCATTAGTATTGGATTTATTTGAATGATCATCCATTGTCAAGAAGAGTTAAATATGTTATAAAAGAAAAGATTCTAAACAAAAAAGTATATAAATATAAGCAACAAAAAATGATCGATATATAAATAAAATATTAAAATACCCATTTACTTTATTATATGCCTCTTTCGTGAACAGTGATAAATAGTTTAACGAATTAAATCAGAAAATTCGTAGAAACATAATAGCTAACATTTCATTTAATGGTGACATCTATGTTTAAAAATTCTCTTATAAAGATACTTTAGTACTTTCAAAAGTAAAAGAAATATTTCTAAAAATAATCTTAAACAATATTATTATTATTTAGATAAATTCAAATACGTATTTAATCTAGGCAAAGTATATTTTATCTTCATTTCATATATCTCATCGATTTATGGAAATTAAAATTGAAAATATTATATTAAAATACCATATAGGGTTTTTAGAAAATAATTCTATTCATTTTATAATTGATTAAATAATAGATTATTATTTTTTCAAAAGTTCATTATCTCTATTATTATTTAATTTATTTATAAAGAATATTTCAGTATATATTACGAGATAAAATTATTTCAATAAAATGAAAAAGAATGAATATATACATGAAAATTTTTAGAAATATTTATTGTGTGCAAAATAAAATCATAAAAGCGAATTTATAAAATTATTTTTATATATATTATTTAATACATTATATTTGTACATATTTTATGTTGACTATCTTCAAAGGTGCAGCATCTGCTGCTTAGGGGTGATCCTTTATCTCTACTTTTCTTTATGATAAAGGATCATTTATCTTTAAAAACTAAAGATAAAGGATTCATTTATCATTATTTTTTAAAGTAACACTAAATGACCCCCCCCCCCTACTGCTGCTGAAGTAGAAAATTTCTCCGAGTAGCAACATTTTTGCGAAAAACTTTCCCCATCATAAAAGTAAGCTAAAAAACCAGTTATTCTCGTTTACTATGTGTATTAATAAAAGAAAGACCACGGCTATTTAACACATTGTAAATACGCTTCACAAAAAAAAAAAGAATGTTATTATTCAATTTCGTTAGTTCAGACATTCTTGCTACCTGTTGTTTCCGTAAACAATTTTACATGCGTATGATCGTATAGATAGCTGGGGAAAATTCTTATGATCGCATCTGAATAAGATACACAACATAACAATTTCTATTTATTCCAATATATTAAAAATTTCAGAAAGTTAATGAAAAGAAAGGAAAGAAGAAAGGCGAAAAATCTTATCCATACATATGTGAATAAACTAAGATTGATTTGGAAAATTGTAAAATTTCTCTACGAGGAAAAAATATTTTCCACAAAACTTCCACAGATGCTAATAAATTTTCGAAAATTTCCTCAAGCGGACGCTCGCGCACGCAGATAGATTCTGCACCACTGACTATCCTATTGGTCTTTTTATGGTTATTTTTCTTTTTACAAATATTCATTTAATAATTTTGCTTTGTGTATTTTTTTATAGAAATGTATATCGTTATCATTTTCACTACTGCAATGCTTGTTTATTTAAAGCACAAATTTGCAAGTTTCATTTTCAAATACATAAAGTTGATATGAAGAAAATATTAGGCTATCATGACACTCATTAGCAATTAATACTTTATCATAACTCAACAAGTAACGCTCGTCTGTGTGACTCGCTTAACCCTCGACTGAATGTTTCACTGCATCGGCAGTTGTTTATTACTGCAGACATTTTGCAAAAGGTAGCATCGGGCATTTGCACATGGCTTTGTGCTAGTGTCAACATTAGTGTACACATGTGTCGGCGTGTATAATGCTATTGGTACCGTTGTAATACTGCTAGCTATAACATTCGTTCATTTAATCTGTTACTCTATCAATAACACTCAAAAGAAATCTACGTGACCCACACTGACACAGCAATATCCTCAAACCACGAAAAAATAGTATATTCGATTTTCAGAGAAAATCAGCAGACAAAAAATATCAGCGTGACTGCAGTAAAGATGCACTACGCTTCACGCAAACTGTATTAATAATGCGCATACTCATAAACACATAGGCGGGCAATATCGCTGACCGGTACCCACTACGAAAATGCATGTTTAGCGTAGCTATCAGACTAAAAAGCTATATTTGTTCAAACTAATATCCGGCATACGCAAGTTGAATCAGGCTTCAACTCTGAGTCTTTGTGAGATTAAATAACGAATTTTAAATAGCCGGAAAAAAAATTTGACAAGTCAATGGGCAGATGACGTATCTATGAAGATAAAGGATTATTAAATTCCATTCAAGTCCACTTTTGATGATTCGATGCAAATTGTATTATTGACGCTTTTCAGGAAATGTTCGATTCCGATATTGAAGATCTCCAACACACTCGTTCTCACACTTCATTCAAATACACTTGTTAACCCTCTTGCCAGTTCTTCCTCCCATGAATCCTAGTAAGATCTAAGTGCTAGAGATCCTTCCAATGGATTAGAAGTTTAAAAGAATTCTATTCAAAGGATTTTTTAGGGCAGCAGCTAGTCACTCGTCGGCATCCGAGTGGGTCGTCACGCGCAACTAATTGCTGTTATGCATCGTTCTCTTCCAGTAATTATATAATCATGCACTGTTATTTAAATTTTACTGGATTCTAGATTTGGATTAGTTTCAAAGCTGCCTATATTTATCGCATAAGAAATCCCAAAGTGAAAATACTTGTGAACTATTCCTTATGCGTTTCAATCCTTTACCTAGCTAGTCAATCTAAGATTTCATGGAGCTCGCCATCGAAAGAAGCTTAAGTATATGATTTCACACAAAAAACTAGCTTAATAGACCATATCTCATACCAAAAAAATTGTGAAATAGAAATAGAAGCTACTATATTTCACTGTCGGAGTTCCGACGTGGCGCTATTCACACTTAGCTACTACTATCTTTGAACACATATTCTCAAATGACTACTTTCTTATTCAAGGCATGACTAATCCACATTTCGACTGCTTCAAAAGCTTCTCTACTCGTAACTAAAGGGTACTAGATTTCCTATATCCAGCAAGATATCTATTAAATATATACGTGTCGTCTCTCGAGTTTCTCCATGTTCATAGGAGTCCTTCTCCACATAAAATATCACATGTTAAGTCTCTGTGGCACTTTTTTAAGGACCTTGCTTGATGTTATGCAGAAATGTCGTAAAACAGATTTTGAATAAACCTAGTTTGGAGGCAGCTATTCGTTCGCCGTCCTTCCGAAGGAACGCCATTCACGGCTATCCGCTACTTCCAGCTACTTTCACTCACGAAAGGTTGATACCATTTTCAAAATCGAGCCATCGTTCCTATTTAAAAAACTGATGGAAAGTTTGATCCTTTACAAAAAAATTCATCCACATTAGAAATTTTCTTTGGAAGCTTATCAGTATTCAGGAAGAGGACACGTTAGTATGGATTTACCGATAATCTGAAATATTCTGAATAAGTGGACACAGCCGTTGTATCCTGTCAATCTAAATAATTTTTTTGCGTAACTCGCTCTCATTCCTCAATCTTTGTTCTACAAGCACTCTAATTTCATCTTATCTTCGTATTTCTTGATTCATTACACTACTGTCACGTATTACAAAGTACTTGCTGTTTCTCAACATCACTTCTCATAGAACGAATAGATTCGAGATCTGAATTTTGGAATCCTGATTCCAGATTCGGATTTCTCACCCTCGATAACCTCTAACAAAGTTCGATCAAAACGGCCAAAAGCCGTAAAATAAAAAAGTTCCTTTTTTGATTGACCGGTTTCCGACCAATGAAACTTCGGCCAAAGAAATGGCTTCGGATTCGGATTCAGGGCCATCGATAACCTATAGCAAAGTTTCATCAAATCGTCGAAAAGCCTTAAAATAAAAAAGCTGGTTTCTGATTGGCCGGATTTCACACAATGAAAGCCCGGCCAAAAAAACTGACTTCGGATTCGGAATCATGGCCCTCGATAACCTATAGCAAAGTTCATTCAAAACGACCAAAAGTTTTAAAATGAAAAAGCTCATTTCTGATTGACCGATTTCTGAGCAATGAAATCTCGGCCAAAAAAATGGGCTTCGGATTCGGATTCAGGGCCCTCGATAACCTATTGCAAAGTTCGATCAAAACGGCGAAAAGTCTTAAAATAAGAAAGTTCTTTTCTGATTGGTTAGTTTTCGACCAATGAAATCTCGGCCAAAAAAATGGCCATCGGATTCAAATTCAGCGCTCTCGATAACCTATAGCAGAGTTCGATCGAAACGGCCAAAAGTCTCAAAATAAAAAAAAGTTCGTTTCTGATTGGCCGGTTC